GAATACGGCAGTTAGCTTTACTTCCCCTGGGCTGTGCAACAGTGTTGTTGTGGTGGTTTTAAATGCTGCAGGCTCAGATGGTTGGATGGATCTCAGTCATTCTCTCCACCAGTCTAGACACATTATTTGTCTGGACTTGGCTTATAACGACAAAAAAAAAAAGATGTGATTATACAAATAAGACGCCTCTTTTCATGCGTCTTCTGCTTGTTTATTCCAACTGGGGTCTTATTTTTGTTCTTTAGTTGATCATATGTGTGTTAACATTGTACTCACAAAGTTAATAACTGAGATGTGGGAACAAACAACAACTAAAGTTATAATGAGCACAGTTCTGTCAGAGCAAAGCTACCAACATAAGACCCAGAGTGCAGTAAAAAAAAGTTTAATGATTTAATGAATATAAAAAAAAATGTAATTTTAATAAACCAGAAATATAAAATGATCAAATATTTTTCTTCATAGCTCTGCAATGGTTAAGTTCATATTCAGATTTGAATTGAGTCAAGACCATGATCACATGACATGCACAAACAAACAGCATATACAAAACAAATGATAATAATAATACTTACTGTAAATAAAAGTAACAAGTAAGTGTTTAGCAGTAACACAGATACAATACACCCCACCAGTTTAGCAAAATATCAAAATGAGTGCAGCAGAACCAGAGATATTCACTTTTTATTTCCCACTTTCTTCTCCCTTGTCAAAACGCCTATATTACCCACAATGCTGACAGTTCAGTTGGAAATTTAGATGTTTTATGTGTTGCCTTGATTGACATCACATGAGGGAGTGCATCATTTTTTGTGCAGTTCTTTCTAGCTTTTTGTTTATTTATTTATTTATTACAACTTAAAGAAAGGGCATGTGATCCCACTGGCTTATCCCACTGTAATAACCAAACTAAGTTAAATATACTGTAAGTGGATGGTTAATGAACATACACTCAAACAGAATGTGATGCTCATCCTCGATGCAGCTGTTGTTTTAAAGGTTACAGACATTATTTCATTTATTCTGGTTAGTCTCCAGCAGCTTCCCCCCAGAATCTCATAAAACCTCTTTTTGACTCCAACACACTCTGTAGGGGGGATGTACTATTGGCAGGTTGTAGTTTTGCCATATATATATATATATATATATACTTAAGAAAGTTCAGTGGTAGTTTCAAATCATCTCTGTCAAACCCAGCGGGGCCACCCGTACAGAAGTGAAATGTAATGTATGCGGTGGATGTAAAGTGTGAACGCTGAGGTGAAAAACTCACTGAATAATAAATACAGCATATTCATAACTACGAAGGGAATCTGAAGGTGCGACAGCAGCAGAAAAGGACTGAGTCTGTCTGTCTGTTTGTGTGGGTGATACCAGTTCTCCTGCAGGGAGGAGGAGGAGGAGAGAGTGTCTTCAGACTATAAATAGCAGGGATTGGGGTTAACAGGGAGGGAGGTGGGTTTTGGGGGTTTGGATTGACGTCATTTTGGTGAACTGTTCTCATATAGCCAGCTTCCAATCCTCTCTATCGCTGCCCTCTGCTTTTCCCTCTCCCCTTGTTACTGTCTTTGTCTATTTTTTGCCTCTCCTCTCTCTCTCTCTCTCTCCAAATCTTATCCATTTTCTTTTCACTTTCTTCCTTCTCTAACACTAATTTGATGTTTGTATCAGTCCTTACACAGGTGGGGCTGGGTATCACTTTCAAGTTCTCAGTGCTAAAACGGTTTATTCAACACCTTGCTCAGGGTTCCCCACAGGAAGCTGATAAAAGGAGGCGTATGTGTGATAGGATATGGATACAGCTGATCCATATTTAACAAAAGAAGGCAGATATTTTTTCACATGTTAAATATCTAAAACTGGCAAATATTCTTTTAAATCTGGAACAATCTCATCAAAGAACAGGAAAACAAGATGAAGAATGTGACCTGACAGTTGGAGCTAATTTGTTTTGATGGTTTTTAATACTCTGTGTTATGGATAAATTCTGGTCAGTATCATCGTAGATGGATTACTGAATGGGCAAACCAGACAAAGGTATGGTGACCAGGGGCCCAGTGGGTCAGGGGCTGCCGGAGCCTTTTATATGAAGTGACTGTTAACATTTCCCGCGGGAAAGTCAACAAAAGAGACACAAAACCACCACAAAGAGAGACAAATAAATGCAAGATGACCCCAGAGAGTAACTTTGCTGCATTGGTTTAAATCCATGGCCCTTGCTATTATGTCAGAGGGGCTGGGGTCCTTTTGTATGTCTGTTCCCAACGGCCCATTGTTTCATAATCTGTCCATGGTTATCCAGGCACTAAAGCCTTGCTGATTTCTTGGTATTGTTAAAAATTGTCAAAAACTAGCGACTGATGTGAAGCCTCCTCAGTTTAAACAGAGAGATAAGCCCCAGCTTAATCAACCCATCAGTTCAGTGGACACGCCTTTTATGTGAGAAACAGTCCGGAAGAAAAAAATCAAGAATCAGCTGACCTCATGTCCAGTGGCAGAAACTGCGGAGAAGAGAAAACCACTGTGACTGAGATCAACACGAGGTCAACGCCAGCGTCTGGTCTGAGGTCGTGGTTTAATATTGTAGCCGTGAAAGTGTTTGATGATGAAAGGTGTCTGGAGACTGCTTGCTGCTTCTTTTCTAAGATTCATCAGTCTCAGTGATGGCTGGCTTTTTTGTCTGTGACTTTAGACGTGGTTGGACGACATGATTATGAACGCTATTGTTTCACTGGCCTTAGAGGAAGGCGCCATCGCATCAGACTTTCAACGTCAATGGACAACTTTAGGGTGTATGTGCTGCATATTGTCCGGGTGCTGCACTGCATCCTCGCAATAGAGTTCGGCCTTTTTTGCTCTGTCAACATAACATTGAACCGGGGATGTTGCAGTTTCACTCCCCCGAGCTCCAACATTTTTCACACTGCTGTTCTCAGAGCCTGTAAACTCTAAAAATGTCCTCTCACAAACACCTGGATACCAGATCAGTGGGTCGTCCAAATGGAATATCTTTGTAAACACAACAAACACGGCCTCACTTGAAGATACAAGACACAAAGCTACAAAATAAACTTTGCGAGGCTGATCTATTTGCTCATTCTGCTCTGTGGAGTACTGGATAGTAGGTGTTACAGATACAGACATCATCAGACCAAAGCAGCTGCACTAAAGTCTCTGCACTTGAAAACCTCCTCCTCCCCCTGTGTCTCTTCTGTCTTATGTTCTGTTCTCTGATTCTGAAGTGGAAAAAAATCCCTCGACTTTTCTCATCAGGGGTGGAAGCTCAAACTGGTGGTTTGGTACGTGTGAGTCACTGTGGACAAAGAGTGTTAGATCAGTCAGTAAAATACAAAATGACCAGAAAATGTCTTTAGTTGGACATATGTGGTCATCAAGAATTTTAATTGTTCCAAAAAAATTACTGCCACTAGATGTCGCACTGGATCATGTTCTGAGTCAGCACTCTGTTAGTGAAAGCAGCCCTTAAAAACACAAGAAGAAGCTGAATAAAGTTTCCCTGTGAACACGAGAGCCAACAATAAACGATCAAACCCCAACCATTAGCCCACGCTAGCATTTCCATGATATACCCCACAGAAACGCTGACAGGGAGCCAGCTAGCCACAGCAACATTTGCCGAACACATTCATAATAAGGGTAATGTTATCATGTCTACTGGAGCCGATGAAAACAGACATGTAACATTATGAACCATCAAGTCAGTGACGCATGGAGGAGAAGAGAAACCAGTTCAAGCTGGACCCTTTAGCAGCTCGTGGGGTTCTCATCTCAGACTGGGAAAGAAATTCAGCCTTGGACATATACTAGGACCAGCCACACCAATGACACTGACGGAGCAGGTAAAGACACTGGCGAACCGGTAAAGACACTAATGGAGTCGATAAAAACTTTGCAAACTTTTTGGATGTTCTGACGGTTCACTGGCTGACCAGGATTTGAGCCAGAAGTCCCCACGGTCAGTCCGCCTGTGCCCTGGTTTCTTTCTTTGTCGGAGGCTTTTTTTTGCTGAAAACATGGTTTCTAAAGTAGAGAAAATTCTGGAAGGTCACTGTCACCTGAATGCTGCGTACTGCACTGTGTCATCTCACATCTTCAAAACCCACATGATGTTTCATAAAACCTCTGACCTCATGGGCATCTCACCTCCTTCAGCGTAGAGTTCGAGTTTAAATACATGGGTGTACTGTCCCCCTTTTTTTGCCCTTTATTCTGAAATCAGTGGTGGGATGTCTCAGATTTAGTCCAGGTAACTGATCCTCTGCATTATCTAATTATATCTGTTTATCTTTATCTGAGAGTGTGCAGGCAGCTCTTTATTTTGTCCTGCAAGATTATAGGTGAGAGGATATTACTGATTATTTGGTCAATATTAAATGTTTATGTTGGTCACAAAGGTTCATTTAAACTGTAACCAAACCTGAAGCTAGGTGCTGACTGTCCACCTGCTGTCAGCTGCTCTTTGATGCCAGACAAATCAGGTGCTGTGCTCTGTATAGATGTAAAATCTGTCTTTTTAGAGCTTCATGAATTATACTCTAATAATAATATAATATGTCACCACAGCTTGGAGCTAAATAAAAAAGTTATTTCAGTGCCTGTGATTGGCTCGGGGCGTGGCTGAGTGTGGTGTCTGCTTTGTTGTGACATCACAAAGTTCCAGAAGTCCTGACGGCTGGTTTTAAGGCTCAGTTTCTGAATACAGGCTGTGTGCATTTCTCTGTGGACTGAGGCTTTGATACTTTCACAGTATTAATATAGAACTTAGACCTGCTTTATAATCAAACAACACATGGACATCTACCTTTACACTATCTACTAACACATGTTTCTGTTCCAAAAGGTTCAGCATCTTCAAACTTCAGATCTGGGGATGTTTTTTGTTTATGAAGGGACACAACAGATTAACGTGTCCAAACCTCAATGCTGATGCTGTTGAAGCTGTAATGTTAATGAGCTCCTCTCTTCTTTCCTGCCCTCAGTCACCTGGATAATCACCACCTTTGGGACCCCAATGAGTTTGCTGTTTCCTGCTTCAGAATCATCATGTACTCCATCCAGGTACAGCACATACGTCGCTTCAGTTTTGAGTTTGAAATGCAACATTGTCATGGTGTACAGTTACTGTTAGCCTCGCCCTTCCCCCCCTTCTCTTGGATCTGGCTCCAGCACCTGTCAGTCATTTTGACGAGCTGTCATCCAGCTCAAGGCCTGAAGTCAGCGGTGTCCCTGAAGCCTCCACAGGCAGATGGAGAACACAGCTGATCTGACGCTAGTGTCCGCTCTATGTTTTCTTAGATTCACTCGGCTTTTTTATTCTCCCTCCAGCTCCTCCTGCTTCTCAGGCAGCTCTCCCTCTGCAGACTGTGTAGTACAAGTCCTCTTGAACAAAACGCTTGTTGAAGGAGGGTTGGTCCAGGGTAAAAACATCTCTCTATCTGTGAGTGGTTCATGCCCCCAAACTTAGGTTACTTAGACAGGGAGATTCAGGTGTGAGTGGTTGATTTGATACCTTAATTTTTTGGAGCAAATTCAGATTTGTTTTTTTATTTTATTTTTTATTTTTTATTCTTTTGGGCGGGGGGGCATTTTGTGCCTCTGTGAAGTATTGATAGTGTAGAGATGACGGGAAAGGAGGAGGAGAGAGATGCAGCAAAGATCCAGATACAAACCATGATCATCATCACTGTTGCCATGGAGATTTTATCAATACTGAGCCAAATTTTAAGGCTAATTCTTAATGTTTTGTTCCAAATTACTATCAGAAAAAAACAAATACCTTCCCTTGAATGTCTCATTCCCAATTCCTTTATGTGGAAAAAAATTTCAGCCACTCATGATCTTCTTCAGGTTGAATTCTGTGCAGACGATTGTCACCCAGCACCTGCAAATAATTATTGGATGTTTGTGCTTCTCTACCATCATGTTTATTTCTTAAAACCTTAAAAACAATGTAAAAATTGAAATGAAACCTATTAGAAATTGGAACAATATCATATATTGACATATATTTCTAGCCCATACAAATATATATGTTTATATATATGTGCTTCTATGGTAGACATATGTTAGGTACATATATATCCTTCCCAAAGCCTGTCAATGTAAGACTAAATATAGAAATCAATCACTTTATTATTTGTCCCCAGTGGGGCGGTTGGGTATGTAGCATTGGGATATATGCATAAAAACATAAAAGCACAGGGTACATAAATACAAAGATACGCCAGTATGTTTAAAATTAAACAGATACATGTTTCAAATTTTTATAAGTATGTTGTTTTAATAAAGCTGCCTATATGAATCAAATATATATCATTAACAACTATGACTGCAACATATAATACCTTATACTAAAACCTTCTATAAAAATGAAAATATGTTCACCATTTACTGTGGGTGTTTTCATATATGTTATAATAATAATAATGACAATAATGTTTCCTTCTATAAGTGACTTATATGGCAATGTGTAGGAGCATATATTGTATGTCATATGTCACATTTCAGTATTGGTAGTCATCAATATTTGATGATTTAATTTAATATTTAAAATGAATAAAAACATGTTTTCAGGCACTTAAACATTCCTGTATTATTAAAGCTCACTAACGGCTAACTTAATTATCTTCTAATTACATTTTAAATTGTGATGGATGCGAAGTTTGGAACAACACTAACTCACACACTGACTGCTGGTGCACTTATTACTGATGCCAGTCACATTTTCCAACACACATGTCCCTGTCTCACACACACACACACACACACACACAGAGCTCAGACCTCCATCCCACTCCCTCTCTCTGTCCCTCTGACTGTATGTTTAATTGCTCGCTCGTCCAGGACTTCCCAGGCGACACTGAGGTGCTGCCACAGATAAAACACAATCAATGTGGCTGCCGGACGGTTTTGTGTATGTTCTTTGTGAGTGTTTGACAGGCGCTGGCAGAGTTTTGTCTCTCTGATCTGTCCGGGGGGTTTGTGTCTGTCTGCCAGGAGACGGCACCTCTTTGATCTGAGTGAGGGAAAAACAAACAAACCCCGGGTTTGTCCTGCAGAGACGCAGAGACACGCTCGAACGTCCCGCTGTCAGGAGAGAGATGACAGAGTTTGGACCATTTTTAGAAGAAAAACACAGATGATGATCTTTTACATTTTGAGGTGTAGCTGTGGTCCAGCAGTTCCAGGAAACTGATCCATAACATCATCAGGATTTCCTATAAAGAGCTGGTACCAATGTATTGAAGAAGGCCCGATACAAAAAAACAATCTGTACTCTCAGGAGCAGGAAAGACTCACCTGAAATATGGCTGGTTTCTTAAAGGGACAGTCCGACATTTTGAGAAATGCACTTTGTTTTGCAATAAAAAAACAATTGTTGAACTAATCCTTTAACGACAGGAGCATAGGACCAAAAAATCTACTTCAAGATTCAAGTGCTGGATCCAGGTGTGCTGGATTTCTGTTTCTCTGTTTCTCAGTTTAAATGTCTGGACAAAAATGTAGTTTCTGTTGACTTTCCAAACACGATTCGTGTGGGTGCATCTTAAATCTCCTTCCTCTCCGTCTCCAGGCTCAGCACTCCCACCACGTCATCCAGCAGGTTCTGAACCACCTGGACACTCACAACAAGACCACGCCGCGGGTCAGGGCCGGCATCGTCCAGGTCCTCCTGGAGACGGTGGCCATCGCTGCCAAAGGCTCAGTGGGTGAGTGAGTTAAAGGACTGGACTGGTTCCCACTGCAGGACCAGTAGTAACCGGTTTGTCAACAGAAAATGAAGCTCCAATAATTCCAATAAAGAACTGATCAATTAAGTCATTTATCAAGCATTAATGTCAAACACAGTTTCCTGAAATGTTAGGATTTTACTCAGTCTCAGTTTAATATCAACATCAATTAATGAATGAATTAATGAAAACAAAAAGCAAAACAAATTAAAAAACCCAACACATGAATCCATAATGAACAGAGGCCCAAAAGCCACATTCAGTGCCTCATACTGACTTGTACTACATTATAGATATACTGTGTGTATATATGTATATATGTATATATGTATGTATATATATATATATTAATATATATACTGTATATATGATACAAAGCTTTCAATTGACTTTATTCATTCAAATATTGTCAGTTTATTTATAAAAACTAATGACTAAAGTGTTTTATAGAGGGATGAAAATTACAGTGGAATAGAACAGAGAAAGTTATGAGGCTCACTCAAGTCGGTTATTAAAAGTTTATTGTACATTATTTTAGATTTGGACATTTTAATAAACTATAAAAAGGCTAAAGATACGAGACAGATGTCAGTGCAGGGGGAAGATCTTATAGTGAGTGGAAACAGTTTTCTTCTGTGTTTAATTTTTACATTAATTAACATGAAAACATGTTGATTGACAATGAGTCAATGGAGAATATGATAATAACAATGGTAGATGATGTTATAATATGCAGGTGCAACTTTTTCTGGCTGTCACTTAATCTGCCAGATATTTTCTCAATGAATTGTTTTCTTTTACAAACAAATGTAAAATGAGTCTGCTCACCTGGCTGGTTCACCTCATTTGAAGCAGTCTATTAAAAATAATTACTCCTATATATAATAATTGCTATAATAAGCATTGGTGCAAATGAAGTGTTAATACAAACACCTCCCACTGCAGAGGAAGGAATGTAGACTTTTCACTTTGAACAGCCAGAAGAAAAACTTGAAAAGATGAAGTGATGTGCACGTGTTCATTAAAGCAACTGCACAAACACAACACAACAAAACAAAAACACAACAAAAACACACCACAAAAACACAACACAACACAACAAAACACAACAAAAACACAACACAACAAAACAAAACAAAAACACAACACAACAAAACAAAACAAAAACAACACAACAGAACACAACACAAAAACACAACAAAACACAACAAAAACACAACACAACACAACAAAACAAAAACACAACAAAACAAAACAAAACAAAACAAAAACAACACAAAAACAACACAACAGAACACAACACAAAAACACAACAAAACAAAACAAAAACACAACAAAACAAAACAAAAACAACACAAAAACAACACAACAGAACACAACACAAAAACACAACAAAACACAACAAAACAAAAACACAACAAAACAAAACAAACAACACAAAAACAACACAACAGAACACAACACAAAAACACAACAAAACACAACACAAAAACAACACAACACAACACAAAAACAACACAACAAAACACAACAAAAACACAACAAAACAAAAACACAACAAAACAAAAACAACACAACAAAACAAAAACACAACACAACAAAACAAAAACACAACACAACAAAACACAACAAAAACAAAACACAACAAAAACATAACAAAAACACAACAAAACACAACAAAAACGCAACACAACAAAAACAACACAACAAAAACACAACAAAACAAAAACAGAACACAACAAAACAAAAACAGAACACAAAACAAAAACACAACAAAAACAAAACACAACAAAAACACAACAAAACACAACAAAAACGCAACGCAACACAACAAAAACAACACAACAAAAACACAACAAAACAAAACACAACAAAAACACAACAAAACAAAACACAACAAAACAAAACACAACAAAAACACAACATAACTCAGCACAACAAAAACATAAACACAACAAGACACAATACAACAAAAACAGAAACACGACAAAACACAACAAGACACACAAAACACAACAAAAACACACACAACAATACACAACAAGACACACAACAAAAACACAAACACAGCAAAAACAGAAACACAACAAGACACGCACCAAAAACACAACAAGACACAACACAAAACAACTCAACACAAGACACAACAAAAACTGTATAAAGATATGAAGATATGGAGACATCACTGTGGGATCAGCTGTAGTTTATTGAACTGAATTTTAAAAATTCACCAGAGTTGATATGAATAAATTTATATAATTATAGATCAAGCTGTTGTGTATTTAATCTCTATGACCCGTGTTTTACCGCCTCCTCCTGTGGGAAAAATAAAGGAATGATTCAAGAGACCAAAAGAAGCGACATGTGCACCTATGGAATTGAAAGAACGACTCCTCCAAACCTGTGGCTCGGTACAGTATGATGATGTGGTTTAGATTCAAGCTGGATGTGTAGAGCAGTTTACGACATCAACCCCCCACCCCCACCCCCCCACACGGACGCCTGGCATTAACGAGCATGCTGGGTAATCACAGTGTATTTATGTGCAAACAGCAGAAACACAAATTCAAAGTGGTATGAGCTGCGTGTTAATGCCAGGTGAGCAGAAAGGTTCAGATCTTTTCACATCAACACATCTGAATGTTTTAATATGAACGTTCACTGAGAGACCAGAAATACAGAAACACCTGTCCAATACCACAACCCTGCAGGAACCTAAAGGGTCCGTTTATTAACGTATATTAATGTATGTTCCTAAGTTTTTATTGATAGTAATCTGTCCATGCAAATGGTTTTTCTTTCTTTAAGTTCTGAGGTTTCTGCCCATATGCAAATGTAATATATGTACATATATTGAATTTCCATACGTTTTTATTTTATATGTACATATATGTAAAAATTGTATATGAAACCTATTAGAAATTGGAAATATTTCATTTATTGACATATACACTGGACAAAGAAATTAAGGGAACACTTAAATCACACATCAGATCTTGATGAACGAATTTGAAAATCTTTACTGATATACATTGTATAATTAGTTGAGAACAAAATGACATAACGACAACAAATGGAAACCAAAATCATCAACCCACTGAGGGATGGATTCACAATCACACCGAAAATTAAAGTTAAAAATTGAAATCACAGGCAGATCCAACTTATGTGAATTTCATTACGGCAACGTGTGGGCATGCTCCCAATGAGTTGGTGGATAGTGTCCTGGGGGATCTCCTCCCAGAGCTGGATCAGGGCATGAGTGAGCTCCTGGACAGTCTGTGGTGGTACTTGGTGACGGCGGATGTGCCGATACATAACGTCCCATAGGTGCTCAATTGGATTTAGGTCAGGGGAACGTGAGGGCCAGTCAATGGCATCTTTGACTTCGTCATCCAGGAACTGCCTACCCTGGTGCAATGTCCTGCACCAGGAGGAACCCAGGGCCCACTGCACCAGCATAAGGTCTGACAATTGCTCTGAGGATTTCATCCCGGTACCTAACAGCAGTCAGGGTTCCGTTGGCTATGACATCAAGGTCAGTGGTACGGTGCTGGATGATGGCAGCATAACTTTCATGCGTGTCACATGTGCTCAGTGTGAACCTGCTCTCATCTGTGAAGGGAACGGGGCGGCAAGTGCCGGACCTGCCAGTTCTGGTGTTTTCTGACGAATGCCAGTTGAGCTGCATGGTGCTGGGCTGTGAGCACAGGTCCCATTAGAGGATGTGGAGCCCTCATGTCACCCTCATGTAGTCTGTTTCTGACAGTTTGGTCAGAAACATGCACACCAGTAGCCTGCTGGAGGTCATGTTGTAGGGCTCTGGCAGTGCTCCTCCTGTTCCTCCTCGCACAAAGGAGCAGGTACTGGTCCTGCTGCTGGGTTGATGCCCTTCTATGGCCCTGTCCAGTAACGGTCGGTCTCCTGGTATCTCCTCCATGCTCTTGAGACTGTCCTGGGACACACAACAAACCTTTAGACCGCACCTATGGATGTGCCATCCTGGAGGAGCTGGACTACCTGTGCAACCCGATTGGGCAGCAGGTACCACCTCATGCCACCAGTAGTGACAAGGATACTGGCATTAGAATCAGTCAGGAAGGATCAGGAGAGAGCAACTGGCCACCACATGTAAAACAATTCCCCTTTTGGGGGTTGTCTTGCTTTTGCCTCTCCATTGCACCTGTTGTCACTTTCATTTGCACCAAAGCAGGTGAAACTGATTCACAATCACTTGTGCTTCCTAAATGGACATATTGATACCCCTGAAGTTTCACTGACTTGGTGATATACTATAATGATTAAGTGTTCCCTTCATTTTTTGAGCAGTGTATATGTAGCCTATACACATATATACATTTCTATATGTATGCTTATATTGTAGACATATGTTACATAAAAATATATATCCATCCCAAAGTCTGTTAGTATACACATATGTTCTATGTAAAAATTCAAAACATCACAGATATTTTTAATCAATGTACATATACAAATTTTAACTTGGAATGGGAGGAATGACATTTAAAAATACAGCGATACCACAGATGAGTTTGTAATTTGAGTTAATTAACCCTTTAAAAGTTTTCGGTTTACATTTTAGGTGAACTAATATTTATTTCACCTCATTTCCAGTCTTTATATGTATTTATGTATGTATGTATATTTACCAGACACAAAGATAGATGTAAACCATTTAATGCAATACTACACACTTGGATTCATTGACTTGTTCAGGGGTTTCTGTCTTTCTCATCCTCCACTGACTGTGTGATAACAGCCAGTACCTTCAGTTGTGGGTCTGAGTATGTTGAAGTTTCTGATTCAGATACAGTTGTGGTTTTGTAGCTGGATGTTGTTGTTGTAGAGCAGCTCAGTGATGTGAAGCTGTTTCCAGACCTGCTGTGTGTAATCTTCCCTCAGTAGATTAGAGTAGATTCAGTGTCAAAGGGAAATCCTGACATTTACCCTGTTGCAGATGAGAAGATGGATGCTGTCTGTTTCCTGAGTGTTTAGCCTAGCTTAGCATAGAGAGAGGAAGCAAGGGAAAACCTGGTAGCCTAGCTCCTTACCTAACCATATCTAAATTAAAAAAAAAAAAAAAAAATTCCCCAGAGTCTTATTTAATGGGTAAAGGCCTCATTGTGCCACAGGGTGACTGGCTGTTGCTTCCTGTGACAGAGTGAATTAAGGCAACTGGTCCCAGACACAAGACTGTTACACCATGGACTTTGTTTTTCTGCAGCTCGTGTCCATGTTTAAATGTTTAATGTCTGTACTTCTCTGGGAAACCCTAATGAATCCTTTAAAACCTTTAAGTTATTCAGTATGATTTTTAATGACGCAGAATATAACAGATTTCTCTTTAAACTCTTAAACCCTCAGTCAGTACAAACGGATCCTGTGGAGCCAGTCACTATTCATATTCTCATAACTTTATTATGAATATTAGTGAAGACCAGTTTCCACTGATACCAAATATGTAAGGATGAAATTTGGGGGAAATGTGAATAAGATGGAATGATCTCAATGCAAACATCATAACATCAAGCTGTTTAAGACTTCATATCATATTTATAGGCACTGTGGAGTGAGTGGATTTTTTTAAACATTAAAGGTCCATATAGTATAAAGGTAGATGTCCATGTGTTGTTTGATTATAGATCAGGTCTAGGTTCTATATTAATACTGTGAAAGTATCAAAGCCTCAGTCCACAGAGAAATGCACACAGCCTGTATTCAGAAACTGAGCCTTAAAACCAGCTGTCAGGACCTCTGGAACTTTATGATGTCACAACAAAACAGTCACAGCCCCTCAGCCACACCCCAAGCCCTGCCTACCTGGACCCACCATCCAACCATCCAACTCGCAGGATTTGGTTTTTCTGAGTGTTTACCTGAAATCTGCTATATTTTTATTGGAGCACTCAGAAAACAGTCAGCGAATCAGAAGAGAGGCTCAGAACCTCCTCTCTTCTGATTAGCTCACCGACCTGTTGTTACTAGAGCTCCAGAGAGAAGCCTGAGAGAGGAGATGTAAAACTACATTCAGATGGTTTTTGGTTCTTAAAACTACAAATATATCTTCTTATGGATCAACACTTCAAATAAAACACAGGAGAAGAGGAGAATATGGAGCTTAAAGGCTATTTCAGTGGAAATAAAACGAAGAATCTGGATATTCGGGGGTTAGATGGTTAGATGAGACAAAAGTTTTAAAAATGTTCTTCCAAATGAAAGAAATTATATTTGTGAGCAGATTTTCTTGTGGAAAGTTTGAGTGTCGTCTCTGCTTCACAGTAATTTTGCCACACAGAGAATTTGTTGTTTCCCTACACTGGTAGCATTTAAATTTCACGACAAAAGTTTCTCATACTTTGTCCCAGCTGGAAACCTCTCGGTTTTTAACTTTAATCTACTCTGTTATGGTGTGTGTGTGTGTGGGTGTGTGTGTGTGTGTGTGTGTGTGTGTGTGTGTGTGTGTGTGTGTGTTTGTGTGAGTGCAGGTCCCACAGTGCTGGAGGTGTTCAACACTCTGCTCAAACACCTGCGGATGAGCGTGGACTTCGAGCTGGGCGAGAGCTCAAGGAGAAACTCCAGTGCCAGCGCTTCCTCTGTCCGTGGCAAAGAAAGTGAAGAGCGGATCGTCCAGAACGCCATCATCCAGACCATCGGTACAACAGACCTTAGCTTCCTGTCTCACTAAAGGACAGGACAGGAGTTGTCTGTCTTTGTCTGTCTGCAACACATACATACTCATATAGAGTCTGTGTTCAGAGTCTTTGCTTGCAGTCCTGGTTCTGTGCAAGACTTTTCATGTGGAAATAAAAGACTGTTGAGGGGAGAATGTCTTTGTGTTTGAGTGCTGACTCATCTCATCTCTCTCTCTCTCTCTCTCTCTCTGCCAGGCTTCTTCGGTGGAAACCTGCCAGACTACCAGCGAGCTGAGGTCATGATGTTCATCATGGGCAAAGTGCCAGTGTACGGGACCCCCTGCCACACCTTGGACACCGTCAAGATTGGGTGAGTCACACGTTCATTATCCAACAACCCCGGGGTGCTGCTGTAGCCAATCAGCTCACAGCTTCCAAAAGCCCCCACTCCTGAATATAGAGACAGTTTAGCTCTAAACTCTTTTCTTCCCCAGCACATTCAGCTCAGACACAGTGAATACTGAGGTTTCATAGATTGTGATGGAAACATGAAATGAAAGCACTCACCTCTGCTCTTCAAATCATTCGTCCTGTGTTCTCTATGAGGAATAATCAGTATCTAAAAGTGAAAAATTACACATCCAGTACACTGCTTATGTCAGTTGCAGAGAGCTAACTCACAAATCAGCTGAAACAAATGCTGTGGTCCTTATTCTTCAATAGCACTGCACCACAGTGTCTTGTGTGTTGTGCTTCTGCTCAGTCATTCAAACCAGGACAGCAGCTTCACTGCTCAGTGACCTGGAAGCCAAAGGAGCGTTTCTGATGCATCAACAGAGACTTTCCAGGACTAGAGAGCTACAAACAATAAATTTGCGAATTAGTTTTCATAAAGGAATTAGCTTTTGTTATTTCATTTCAGTTGCACTTTAAAGAAGCTATTTGGAAGTGTTAGCATTAGCAGATTTTTACTTACCAGTCTTGCCAAAAGCTTCAGCCATCATTGTGTTTATAAGACAAGAGGTTATAATATGTCCTCTGAGCAACTACTTCTTCAGAACAGACTGGAGGCTACTGTGACTCGGTATCGGCAAGTGACGAGATGAGAGCTAGCTGGTTAGCATTCTAGCTTCAGTAGAAGAGAAGAAGTGATAGAAGTAGAAGCAAAACAAAAAGGGGTTGCTTTCCACCTCTGGAGACAGCTGTTGGTAAGTAAAGGAATGAAGTTTCCTCTAAACTGGAAAGTAAACAGCTTTTAATGCTAACGTTAGCAATGAAGCAATAGCAAAAATTTCCAAAAAAGTCCAATATTAAAGAAGAACAAAGCAAAAATTAAGGAAAAACAAAATTAGAAATAATCAAAATAATTGATCGGAGAGTTTAAGGTGGTCATTTTGTATCAGATACCAAACAGCATCTGCGAAAAGAGACTGTTATCCCGTGATGGTGTTGAAAGTTGAAATCTTCAGAAATTAGTGAGTCTACGCCTTATAAATAAACTTACATAAAGTTACATATGAATAAACTTGACTTAATCATTTTTGCTCATTAGAAACCAAATTGTTTTGTCCTCTTTTCTGTCCTGATATTAATCCTGAGAAAAACAGAATGTCAGTTAAAAGTGACACTAACCAGCCCAACATACAAAACCTGTAACACATGTAATGTCACAGATTTATAAGTGATGTCAATGTGTTAACTTCGCTACTGTTTACATCAGCCGCTGAAAATAAAGCACGTGAAACAGTTTGACATGTAGCACTAGACTAGTAACACAGGACATCACTATAGACACACACACATACACACACACATATACACACACACTCCCCCCGCTGATCCAAAGTGAATTGTATCTTAATCTGTCCTCACTTCACCTTGTCGACACCCTGCAGCGAATCCAGCTCCCGGGTCACTGAGACGACGGCTTCAAAAAAAATAGAAAAAAAAAGAAAAACAGAAAAGAAAAACAAGCTAATCCCTCAGGCCTCAGGGGTGCAAGAACAGATAATCCCAAATCAAACGAACACTGTCCTCCTCTTCCTCCTCCTCTTCCTCCTCTTCCTCCTCCTCCACCTCCCCACAAACCAAGAGGCTCTCCGTCTCTCCCTTCTCCTTTTCGGGTAATTGCCCGTGAGGAGAGATTTGACTCTGCAGCTTGTCAGAGGTCAGTGCACTTACACTGCATTTTAAACTGTCAACACTCAGGATCTGCTGCTGCTGCTCGCAGGATCTTTAGTCTGTAGAAAATGGAGGGAAATGTTTAAAAATTTGATAAAACTGAATTAAATTCCTGCTGGTCTCCTCCTGATTTTCTCTATAACCAGACCAGACAGGAAACAATCAATAATGCCGCTATATGTCATTTCTATAATAAAATACTATTGTAATATTTAGTTCTGTGGTAGAGAAGATATACAAGACTACACTGGTTTATACACCCAAAATAAAAATTGATGCAGATGATTAGAGCTAAATGTTGATGAGTGAAACATTGAACTGTGACTGGGTTAATGATATAATATTTCATAAAATAAATGTAGATGAGAATGAATGAAAGATATCCCACACACATACCCTGAGTCAGAGCATCCTGATTCAGGTACAGCTCTACAGAGGAGCCTGGAAGACCACTTTGAGTTCTGCATGCACAACTTTGAGGACTTGTCCCACGCCAAACACTACACTGTGGTTTATCACAATAAGAGACGGGACTTTACAACTTTGCAAAGTTTTCATGGTCTGTCCGATTTTGAGGTAAATTGCTCTGCTCTTGTTACATGTATTTGATTGGCCAACACATTTCAAGATGAGCCAGGTTCAACTTTATTATAAATAAAGTCATAGATAAATGTATTTTTATTTTATTTATTTTCTGAGCCTCAGTTTTATCCCTTGCACTGTATCAGTGAAGTGGCCTCATTAAAATTTAATGAGGAAGCTGGAGTTATGTTGTAATAACGTTGGTCCATGTTGGTCTGAACATGGCCTTGGAGCCTTGGACATATGTCTACAAAATGCATCATTTCTATCATTCAATAATTACAGCTGCTTTACTTGCTGCTAAACGTGTGTGTGTGTGTGGGTGTGGGTGTGGGCTGCAGAAATCAGAAATGTTGTTGTGTTCAAATTTGCCAGTTTGAAATAACAGGGATTCAGATTCAGACATTTTATTATCCCAAGAGGGAAACTTGATTTGCAGTCAGGGGTACAGATAAAAAACAGACACAAGTGCAACAATATGAAAACACACAACACTATAAAATACAGAACACTATAAAAATAACAATTAACATGTGCAGATTCAGCAGGATTACTGCACTCGGGATGAAGGAGTTTTTAGTCCTGTTGCACCTGAACTGGGGAGGGGCTTCAGGGGGGTCAGTGGGACACCTGTCACCTTAGCAGCCACCTTTACAATCTGGCTCAGGTGTTTTCTGTCTGTCACGCTCAGGTTACCATACCAGCCAATCATAGGGACTCTCCTCTTCTTCTGCTGTCTGATTATTATTTTATTTTTATTTTTTTTCTCTCAGGCATCAGGGAACCAAGAGGATCCAGACCATGCTGCTCAGCTCCCTCATCATGGTGAGTCCTTCCTTGTCCTCTGACCGGAGCAGCAGATTGATCCATCAGACTAGAACCGAAGCTAAAGTTAGCGTAGCAATTCATTAGCCGTTTGGAGAATCGCACACTGAGCCGACTTGGTGAAGCTTGGCGGCGAAAACACTAAGGTGCAGCCTGATTTACTTGAGCTCTGTCACAACTCATATGACATGTCACCATGACAACTCAGATCTGACCTAATTTGATAAATAAGTGGCTTTTAACTGCAGTTTTGTATTTGGCAGCAGATAATAGATTTTATCTAAATATATATGAAATCATCTGGGAGGGATGGACACACACTCTGAAACTCACAACTTACAAAATCAGCACAAGATTCAAATGGCAAATGTACAATATAAAGTACAATATATAATGAACTATTAATTGATAGATGATTAGATAAATCATTAGTGTTTTATTCCAGCTCTTTGGGAAAAAAACTTTCCAGTTAGTCTGAACTGTTTATTTGATGTTGCTGGTGTTAGAGTTCTCGGTTTTTAGTGTTGACGTCTGAAGTCGCCTCCGTCTCCTTCATTATCTGCTTCAGTGAGATGAGGAGGCACAGGTGGCACCAACACACCCAGTAGTGATGCACGCAAACACATGCATGAGTCACACACACACACACACTCTCTTGTTTTCCTGCAGTATCCTTGTGCGCTGCAGCGGTTCATGCACACCAACACTCACACTGCGACTTATGACGGCGTCCATGTGTCCTCGCCTCCCCTCGGCTCAACCCCTCCCTCTCTCCCTCCCTCCCTCCCTCCCTCACCACCACCTGGCTTCTCAGTGCAGCTGGAGGAGAGGTGAAAGGTCAAAATATTTATATCGCAGTTCAGCTGCAGATGGGGCTGAGCATGAGGGGAGAGAGGGGTAGGGTGCAACAGGAGGGAATGTGTTTGTGTGTGTGTCGGTGTGAGTGCTGCTGGGACAAACCCAGATGTTTGAGGACTTGTAGTCAATAGCGAATTTCCTCCTTCACTCACCTGTTTACATTTTATTGAGACTTTAAGTTATGGAGAATTGAGGGCGTGGCCTCTTTGAGTGACAAGCGGGTGGTTTGCCATAAACCATCATGCACCGAAGTCTCGGCTACACACATGCCCCTCCTCTTTGCCCATTTTTGGATTAGCTGGGAGTTTGGGGCGGAGTCAGGCACTGCCAAAATGGCAATGGTGAGCAGCTCACTCTCAGCTTCAAAACCTGTGGGTGACATCACGGAGGCTACGCCCATCTTTATTTACAGTCTGTGATAGTACTGCAGGATGACTTTTCTGAGGTTTTGATTGGAGACATTTTGCTTTAAATAGTTGTTGACGTCCATGATGAAAACGTTTCCCATCAGGACTTTTCTGTAGTGTCAGACTAATGTCAGGAGAAATAATTCTATATTTTTATAAAACATAAAATTTATGGGAACATAAACAAAGGTGCTTTATGTAATTTAATAAGGTAATGAACAATGTCATGTAGTAACTTGATCAATAAGCTTAGTGTAGGTACAATGACAATGACTGAGTAATTGACTTGTTCAAACTAAGATACTGTATTGTTACCATATTTATAGCTATTAATTATTTTATTATAGGTGCAGCTATTTCAGATTATACCAAGACCAAGCCTCCCCCTCAAGTTGTCTGTGCAGACGCCTGTGTTACTTCCAGCGCTGCCATTTTGAAAATTGGTACAGAGGTGAATTGATTTTCTGTTTGGAAAAGTGCACACCCTCCACTTTAATCAAATGTGGCTGTGATCAGCATTTTAACCCAGGACAACAAACAAGTTTCTGTTTTTATTTTTCAAGGCTGAAGCAAAGACAGGAAGTCTGTCTTTGTCTCAATACGACGTATTAATGAGGTCTTGAAAGCTTTTTATAGCATTCTAACAAACAACATGTTGTATATGGAAGCTCAGATTTGTGTTCAGATACAAGCACCCCCCCCCCCCCCCCAAGTTCACACTGATCATAAATCATCAAATCAGAGTCACGAACAGGAGGAAAGGTCAGCATTTGGACGCTTTCAGCTGCTTGTGAACGTAACCTTTAAGCTCTGCTGAAGCGCTGTTTCTCAACGACCCTCCCTGTGGATTAATCACATCACGCTGTGATAAGCTCACATCTCCCTCTCCCCTCTCTCCCCCCTCCCTCTCCTCTACTACAGGTAACCTCCGGCTTCAAGTCTAAGTCCATGGCAGCTGCGTTGCCTCCTCCTTTCCTGGACCCGCTCTTCTCCATCTCCCTGATGGAGGACAGCGAGCTGAGGCAGCTGGTGCTCGAGATCCTGCACAACATCATTGATCGCCATGACAACCGCGCCAAGCTACGCGGCATCAGGTGCAGAGCGTACACATCGGCTTTCCTATATACAGTATAACTTATGCTCTTTGGTGTCAGCGGCTCTGACGCCTGTTTGGTTTCTCTCTGTTTCAGAATCATTCCCAACGTCGCAGCACTGAAGATTAAAAGAGAGAAGATTTCCAAACAAGACGTCGCATTCATGAAGAAGGTAGAAAATCTTCTGCTGAGTTCACTGAGCTAACTTGTCACTCGTGTGTAGGCTGTAAAGGTTTCTCCTTCATGGAGGACGGCAGCTGTAGGGACGTCGGAGTTATCTGTTGCTCACTGACCAAGAACTAAACCGAACCATCCACTGATTCCTCCGTCTGTTTTCTGCCACTCATCTGCGTCTGAGCTGAATAAGAAAATGAGCTCACACATGTACATCGTTCTCCTCGTCCGCATCCTTCAGCAACAGTTGCATCTTCAAAACCTGCCACTTCAAAACGAAATCAAACGCAAAAGAAAAGTCACTCTAGAACTTCAACAGAAAATCAAGCGCTTACATTAATAAAAGTGGTCGCTTTATTAAGATGTGGTTGGATGTTTAAACTGTAAAATTTTCATCCAAGGAGGTCGCAGAGTTTATTGACCATGACGGGAAAAGCCCGGCCACCATCAGCACATGACATTTCCAAAAAAATGGGACCCCGGTTTAAGTTGTTCACCTGTGAAATGTGAATCACACCTGAGCCGTGACCTTTACCCACATGCCAAACACCTGAAAGAGCAAAACCACAGGGCTGGAACTCCCCTCACTTCACCACGTTCAGAGCAGCGACTCTCATCTGCTGTCACAGGTCGTTAATGCTGTCTAATTGTATTTATTAGTGGTGAAGAGAAGCCGCTGGCCTTCACTTTTCATTAGGCTCCACGTCAGGCGCATGAATGCAGGAACGAGGCTGTGAGAGCGTTTTTATTTAATTCATAAAGAGCATTTCTGCGACAGGAGGCCTCAGACACAGCAGGTTATTTTTAGGCTGATTCACACTGAATGGGATTTATTGTCTCCGCTGAGCAGCACTGCGGCATTTTCATTAGCATTATACGGCACAACAACATTTTTATTCATATCACGGAGAGCGGAGCTGCCGAGGAGGTTTTAGTCAGTACAGGGTTACAACTAACGATTGTTATAATTATCAATTAAGCTGCTAGTTTGTTTCCTAGATAATCTGTTGATATTTTTGTTGATAGGTGATAAAAAATGTTGTAGTCAGACTCACCTGGGAGGCCAAGTCGATTTCCTTACCGATTACATACACACACAGATAAATTCAATGTGACGAACAATGTAGGTTTTTTGATGGCAATTCTTTACTGTTAACTACGATAGCCCGGACTCATGGAAAGTGCATATAAATTGCTTTTAATGGCTGCGAGAAAACCCCCATGCACTGATGGACGGAGGGACAAGTCCTCATGGTTTTACTGGGAACACGCCTCAAAGTCTGTGAGTCCGTGAGGCTGGACATTGGGATCAGGCCTCGCCAGGTCCCACCCCCTGGACAGATTTTTTTCTTGGTCACGTTCAAAGCCAGCGTTGCTCGGAAGCTTCGATGGGAAGGTCAGAGTTGGTTGTCGTAGGGACAAACCACAAACCCACCGGTGGATGAAGCTGAAGAAGAAACCCTGAAATCAGAGGACGGGTTTCGTTGGTCCATCTCCAACAGTCAGACGACTCAGGAAGGACGCACGGTGACCAAACTCAACCTCAGGCTGTTCACACCCAGACTGGGAATGTAGTTTTCACACCAACCCTCACCAGCTTGATTATAATAATAATCTGATAATAAAATAATCAGGTAAAATGATGAGTTGCTGGATGTAAAACTGCAGCTTTAAAGACTGTATTTGTATCTTCTCTCCTCTGTTTCCTGTGTGACGTCCAGCACGGCCAGCAGCTCTACCGCCACATCTACCTGGGCTGTAAGGAAGAGGATAACGTCCATAAAAACTTTGAGCTGCTCTTCACCACCCTGGCCATTCTGACCATTGAGCTGGCCAACGAGGAGGTGGTCATCGACCTCATCCGGCTCTCTGTCGCTCTGCAGGTAAAACCAATGACTTCTTGATTTCGGGCTGTTTTTATTAGAGAGTTTGAAATTCTGCAGAGCTGTTGTCGCAATGAGAAAACCGATAAATCTTGTTTAATCTGTCAAATCTGGAAACACAAGTTCACCGAACAATCGCACCATAGAGTCTGTTCAGCAGCTCTTCTGGAGCTTTCAAACATATCACATAATCTTCCTCAGAAGATGTAGTTGGTCAGTTTTGTCAACTGTAGGTGATCACATTTCTATTCCTTTAAGAGCTCTAATCAGGGTTACACACTGGCAATCTTTTTTTTTTGCTGCCAGGATCATTTTTTATGTTTGTTTTTTTTTTTTTACATCTATGAAAAGAACCGCTGAGAAGCAGGTGACAAAAAATTCAAAAGGGTCAAAAAGGTTTTCTTTCTTTCTTTCTTCCTTCCTTCCTTTCCTCCCAGAAAAAAAACTAAAAACTTTCCTTTCAGGGCTTCTGTACTACAGGGCATTTGTGAATCAAAGATTATTTCCCACAGCTAAATACCAAAAAAAAAAAAACAGATTAGAAGATGAACTGCAGTGTATGCAACAAAAACTAGTTGCATACAATCCTGTCATTTATTGTAAAGATCTGCCCAAAAACCCAATAGAATATGTGTTATATAAATGTAAAAGAAAATGTGATTTCATTCCACAGAGAAATGCACACAGCCTGTATTCAGAAACTGAGCCTTAAAACCAGCCGTCAGGACTTCTGGAACTTTGTGATGTCACAACAAAACAGTCACTGCTCTCAGCCATGCCCCAAGCCCCACCCACCTAGACTCACCATCCTGCCTTGCAGGATTTGGTGTCAGGCTCAGAGCCTCCTCTCTTGTGATTGGCTCACCGACCTGTGAAGCCTGAGAGAGGAGATGAAAAACTACATTGAGATGTTTTTTGGTTCTTATATATCTATCTATATATAATATATCTTCTTATGGATCAAAACTTGAAGTGGAAAATATGGAGTTTTAACCTTAAAATAAAAGAAGTGCAGCAGTGTAGCTCATTAGAAGTAAAAGTCAAACTGAAGTAAATCTAAACCAGTAACGAGCAGTAGAACGAAAAGTTGACGAAAGAAAATAATGCACAGAAAAATAAATAGAAACAATGAAGGAAAGAAGGGAAAGATGGGGGTATGACATCAAAGAAAGAATAGATGGAAAAAAAGGCTGAATAAAGGAAAGATAAAATGTAAAAGTTGAATGTTTCCACTTGACTCCAGCTCTTTAGCTCATTTTGCAACTCGTGACCAGTGACTCCGGCTGTCAGATAATGCAGTGGAGGAACAAGTTCAATTACCCTTCAAGCTCAACTTCAAGCACCCTTGATGTGATGATGATGTATTCACAGTGTCAGGTGTCATATTTGTGTAGCTATGCTGTTGTTGTCGTTGTCGTCATCTCCGTCTCAAGTCCTTAATGTTGTTAGACTGGAGGCACTCAGGTCCAGAGAAACCTCCGACACACACACCAGCTGCTCGTTTGTGTATCACGCTGAGATCTTATCATCCAAATGTCACAATGTTGGAGAAGAGAAGCAAACATACACACACACACACACACACACACACACACACACAGACCTTTGTAGTAGTGTGTTTACCTGCACTGGGAACATCTTCAACCCTCTGGAGTCTCACAGATTAAGATATAGGGCCCAGAGAGCAACAGATGTTCTCAGACAGGTTCATATATGATTTCTCAAGAAGATCAAACATTTACACACACACACACACCTCTGTACACACACACACACACACACACACACACACCTCAGCACCTCATATTTTCACTGGTATCATAATCCACGCACAGGGTTTACAGAGTGCAGGAAGATTTCCTCTGGATTCTCAGAGGTCGCAGGGAGGAGTATCTGCCGTTTGATTGTGTTTTCACACTGTCAGTACAAAAGGTCGTTGTCACGGTAACAACCTCGAGGTGACACAAGCAAGCACAGAGGGCTGGATATGATGCACTGCATGTCTGCGATGTGTTTCTGTGGTGATTTGTTAATTATAATATAATATATATTTTTCTGACCAGAAAAAAAAGGTTGTATATAGAGATAAAGCAAATTAGAAAATTTATCCTGGCCAGATAGAAATGATCCTGCTGTTCAGGGCTTCTGTAAATCTATGAAATGTGAAAAGTGGTGAAAAATTGCGAAAGCTCAATTGTTAAAGAGGAGCTCTTTAAACGCACAGTCAGCAGTCCAACCTCCAAGGAAAAGCCGCAAATCCTCATGTTGGAGATAAAATGTACTTGTTGACTCTTGACTCTCTGCTCCCCATCATGAAGTTTCCTCCCAGTTTACTGTTGATGCACTGTGTCAAATTTCATAGACGGGTTTTAAAAATGTTAAAATAATTCCTAAGAATATAGTCAAACTAGTAAATCTTTTTTTTTCTTTGAATGCATCACATAATCCCTTTGTTATTTTGGTAAAGGTCATTCTTCTGGAATATTGGTTTAGTGGCTCTTTAGTTTGAATCTCTCTCCACTTTGATCTGTGTCATAAAGAACAAGTGAAAATGTCTGAATTTAACTGATGTTACTAAAGAGGTGTTGTGATTATAGTTTCTCAGTGACCAACAAGAAATGTAACAACACTGAGAAGATTTTAAAGTCACAAACTCATCAAATGACCAAGTGATGCCTCTTGGTGTCATTTGGTATCACACCATTGGTTTGAATAAAAATCTCCACATATTGATGGTGTAACTAGTAAATGTCTTCTTGTTAATGTGTTGGCTAAACTGTCCCTGGTTTGTGCAGGACATGGTTCTGGCCAATGAGGAGAACATGCCGATGATTATTCGCTGTGGCGTCAATGCGCTGGTGGCGGCGTACCTCAACTTCCTGAGCCAGATGATCGCCAATCCCCCGTTCTGTCAGCACGTCAGCAAGGTGGGTCATTGGCTCGTTCTAATGTCACTGTCTGGTTACCTGGCTTTACATCACTGATCTGTGAGGTTGTCTTGATGGATGTTGCGTCATTGTTGTACGATCTCAAAATCTCAAACACTTTGAACCGTGCTCTTGCTTTGTAGACTTGAAGTTTGTTAACGTGCAGATGATGCACCGCTGTTTTCAGTTGGTGTGTTGTTGTAGTTATTATATAAAATGGTTCCAACTGAAAACCACGTACTGTTTCCAGGTTATCGAGCTGAGGAACATGGACGCTCCATACCTCCTCCCAGAGCACATCTTCAGAGACAAGTGTCCGTAAGTGTCAATACTAGTTAGTCCATTTTCCTGTAATCTGATCGGTTGAGTTCAGGCTCCTCAGAGCTTAACAAGTATTTTCATGTCAAGGGTAGAAAATCATTACCACAGAACAAATCCTCTCTAATGACCCCACAAACTCTAAAATCACCAGAATCTTAGAGCTGACTCGAATTTCAATACTTCCTTTGTTTCAAACAGAAAGGTCTCAGTATAATGAGCCATGTCAAGTACAGAAAATTGACAGTAAATCTAATGTCTGCTCATATTCTCCATCATGTTTACTAATTCTTTAATTACATAGTTCCTCGTTAGAATCAGAAACGTTGCTAATATTAGACTCTATTTTATTAAGCTGCACGCCAGCGACAGCCAGAGCCGGATGCATTATGTTCTCAAGTTCTCACAAACATTCACTTGGACTCAAAATGAACTGATTAGATGTTTGTGGTCAAAGGTCAAAGTTCAAGTTCACTGTGACCTCACAAAACAAACATATTTTTGGCCATAACTCACAAATATGCTAATTATGTCACAATTTAACACAAGTCTAACTGACATCATAATGTTCTTCAAACACTCTTCTAGCCTCTTATCTAACGCTGTAACTCAGGAAGGAGAGATATTGACCATGTTTCCTGCGACTTGGCTGAGGGATATAACTGTGAGGTGGTAATTCTGGTTTCTGGTTTTTCTCTTCAGACAGAATTAAACTTTTGAGAACTTTGGTGTCTTTTGTTCAATGGAAAAAAAAAAAGTTTTGTAGAAAAATATTCTTGTCATCATCAAAGTAGTTTATCATACCTGAGACTCATAAGGTGTCAGCATTAGCGCTGAACAGCTCCGGTTTGTTAGAGCGATCATGCCAGCCCAACATGAACAGTCGTCCTGAGATACACAATCATCACAATCTATTTTAAGTTTTTTTCTTCTTAAACTTCCCTCAGACTCTCTGAACCCTCAGTGTTGTATAATAGATGAGGCTTCTCTCTCCTCTCATATAGAAATGTCAGCTTGTTATCTGTCTTTTAACAACTGTGGAAAAAAAAGTTGTTCCTCAAACAGCTCGCGGAGAGCCTGAGTCTCGCTTGTTAGACCTCCTTATTCCAAATGTTCTCCAGTTGAGATCTGAGTCATTCTTCCTCCACCATTGTAGTTCTCATGTCTGTGAAAACAAAAATATCTCTGATGTAGAGGTGAGTGTTCTGCATGCCCGAGGGCAGATTTAAACTCTAGTGAAGACGTGATGGCTCGAAGCCAAAGGAGAGATAAAAATGTTGAGGCTGTTTGGAACGTTCTGCTAATCCCTTAAATCTCTTTATTATTTATCAAGATCATTTCCACTGTGTCCTGTTTAAAATTCATTCACTTACTAACATCAGCACTTAGCTGTGTGTTACAGCCGAACTGTGTCAGTAAACTGGTTTACTATGTACCACGATGATCTGAGGAGAGCCGTATCTGTACCTGTATCACTGACTGTCATGATTTTCAGAGGGTACCATGAACACAAGCTGGTTTACCTGCGCTGAGTTGTAGTGTTCAGTGACAGAGAGTGTGACTGACAAAGAGGAAACTTCCTGCATCAAGACCAAAGACTCATCCTTCTCCTTCCTCCTCCTCAGACTCCCTGAATCTCTGGACAAGGAGGACAGACTGCTATACTTCCAGACCTCCGACATGGCCGAGTGTCTGGCAGGACCGGGATACAACGCAGACAGACTCTCCATCCCCTACATCCCCCAAGTCACAGGTACGAGTGGCCAGGTGGCACCACACTGACAGCACAGCTTTACAGGCTCTTCTCTGGAGCCTTGAATTAAATTAAAATATTTTCATTGATATATAGTAGAGAGAAGTAGAGGCGATTCAGGTCCCTGTAACCGAACTGTTGGTGTCGCTATCGCATGATATTTATTTCAATCACTAGGCGACTGTGAGTTTTAACACAGATGCACTTTTTCATGTGCAGTTTTCCTGAAATATTTAATCAGATCGTGTTTATTTCTAATAATGTAAAGACAGTTGAAACAAGTAGCACTTGTTTTTCCTCACTGGCAGATTCTTTCTCTTGTTTAACCTTCTTTTGCCTGACTCATCTTTTCAAGCTCATGTTGTGCAGACAGTTACCGCTCAAACATTGTTATAAATTAAAGTGGAAATTCCACCTTTTTCCTGAAACATGTCAGGCTGAATTCTGGGGAAAAGTATCTCTTGATGAACAAGGGACGAGGCTGTCCCCTTTTTAAAGTTCCTTCAAATGCAGCGGAGAAATGCGTCTTTCGTCTCCTGCAGACTACTACGCCTTCGTAGACCGCGTCCTTTGACAGAGGCAACCCTGAAATGAGACCTAGCTTTTGTGCAGCCATAAGCAACACGGTGAATATTTCAGTAACTATAAACATTATATATCTTAAATAAAGGTTTTGAGACATGAGATGCATTTTTCTAAATTTAACAAAACTTTAATACTTCAGAGTGACATTGAGCTGTTAGGAGGTTAAAAAGTCAGATTAAAGGATTTAACTTGGGGATTGTTGTGCTTTTGTAAACTGTGACATTTTTATTTCCCCTCGTTTTAAACTCTCGCTGCCCCCCCAGAACTGTTGGCACTCTGAGTGAAGATTTATCCAAAAGGGCTTTGAAGGATTATCAGCTTAAGGAGTTGTTCAGTGAACAGAAAATAAACTTAATAAAAAAAAAAAAAACCTATTGTCTGATCAGCTTTATTACACTGAAGGCTGTCGGAGTCAATGTCGATATTTCACATCAGAACAACATGGACCTCAGTATGGTTTCATGGACAAAAGTAGTCGCCTCTCTAGGAACAGTTAATCCTCAAGATTCGGTTTCTTTCATTTTTGAAAATCGAGCTTTGGAAATCCATAAACACCCAAAAGCGAGAAGAGATGGTTTCATTCTCTTCAAATAAAGTGAATTAACCAAATCAAAGAGAGTGAGAGAACAGTCTGTTAACTGACTCGTCTTTGTGTGCATCTGTTTTCTCCCCTCTGTCATGCTCTCATCCAACACAGTGCTTTACACAGTAGGAAAAATCCTCCACAGGTGCAAGCAGACGTCCAGAGGTAACCAGCCAGAGTAGAGCTTTAGACCGGTCTCCTGTCATGGCGGCTGGGTTTAGACTGCAGACAGACAATGTTCAACGTTTTAATAAAGGCATTGGCAAGTGTTTTTTAATCTTTTTGCTATGTGCACCTTGGAGGAGCTGCAAGATGACGACTTTCCTCTTGACGACTTATGACAAACCTCCCTGAAACATGCGGCTTGTCATGATTTTTCTGTCATCATTTTGGAGCTCCATACTGTGCCATACTTACTGTATATTAATATAAAAACCTTTTCGGCTTTATAATTCGTTTGTGCCATGAAATTCTTGAGACCAGTAAAGAGTCTTTAGTCAGGAGATAAGTTTGAGAGACCATGACATGGACTGTAGCAGCTCCAGCTGTGCAGCGAAAAAGCTGAGATCTGGAACCTTAAGATGCTTTTTTTTTGTACCAGTTAGCTTAAGAGGGAGTAGAACCCACAACCCTGGCAGCTTAGACGCTTTGCCACTGAGTGACCCAGCAGCCACCAACAATACAACACCTGTCCAGAGAACCACCCAAGAGCCGTAGCTGACCCACCAGATGTAGATAAATTGTTGTAGCTTGTTAGTATGTCTTGTTGTTTTATCTGTTTTCTTAGCTGTAGACTTCATGTATTAAATCAGTTGGTTTAATCATTATTGCCACTGTTTTGCTTGCATTGCATTTGGACATGTTATGGTGAGTACATGAACTACAAGTAGATGACCTGTGTAGATTATGAATCTTGTAGTAGTTTGTGTTTATTGTTGTGCATAATGTTAATGTAGAAAGTTAATTTTTACACATTTGCTGGAACCAGCTGCCATGACTTGTTGTGTAGTTAGCGACTATGCTAGTTAGCCTGCTATTCCTTTAATGATTTTTCAGAATTTTTAGAACATAAGAATAACTAAATAAATAAATGTTTGCCAGAGAAGCAAATAATTGTCCACATGCTGCATCTTAAGTGACCACAGGCACCGTGACAATAACTAACCTTCTCACTGGCTTCTACATCTTTAGCCAGCACATCATCAACACCTGTCAGACGCTGGTATTCTTTGCAGACACGAGCGCATTTGCTTCTTGTGGCCATGTTGGAGGATTTTAGCTGTTTGTGTTTCTCGGTGTTTAACTTTCTATTATAATGACCGTTAAGTCAAAAAGACATTTTAGTTTCTGTTTGTGCTGTTTTTACTGAGAGTTAGTCAGCAAATTAACCAACTCTTCCAAGAGCTTTTGATTCTCATCTTGTGCTCCCACTTAAAGGTCTCATACAGTCTAAAGGTAGATATCATTGTGTTGTTTGATTATAGATCAGGTCTAGGTTCTATATTAATACTGTGAAAGTATCAAAGCCTCAGTCCACAGAGAAATGCACACAGCCTGTATTCAGAAACTGAGCCTTAAAACCAGCCGTCAGGACTTCTGGAACTTTGTGATGTCACAACAAAGCAGTCACAACCGTCAGCCACACCCCAAGCCCTTGTTCTTAAGGTTCTGATTCCTCTCTACGGGTTTCTTGTTACATCGGTGATCTTAAAATGAACAAGATAATTCTGGTGGAATTTTGTATTATAGATAAGAGTGTGAGCCAAATGTCAAAAGACTCTCTCTCTCTCTCTCTCTCTCTCTCTCTCTCTAACCTTTTGTCTATTCAGATCAGTTTCCTCATTAGAGCCTTTAGTTCAGGCTGCTGAGTCGTACCTGTTCAAAGTGCAAAACAAAGGTCACTGTGACTCACACGAACAACAGTTAGAAAGTGCTGCTGTTTCCTGTTTCTCCCTCCTGTCTGACCTTGACTCTGTGTCGGTCCTCGGGTTGAGACAGTAGCTGCTCTGCTCTGGGTTTGAATTTTTTTACCAGTGCAGCGTGGTTGAATACAGAAGCGCTGGAGGCGCTGGTGTTGAAAGACGAGCCCTCCTGGGAGGAACGAGGCACCTGAGTAGTTTATCGCTCTGCAGGATCAGATCATTTTATTAAATAAGAACATTAAAAAAAAAAAGGTGCAAAGTCTGCCTGTGTGGAAAATGGAGTTTGGTGTTATCAAGTGGCCTCAAAGGACAAGACAACAAGTGCTCATACTTCGGTCAGTGGCTTCCAGCAACACTCCAGGTCTCTTCTCGTTAAGGCTGGAGAAAGATTCTCTGGAAAGTTTAAAGAAACAAACACTGACTGTTGGTGGGACATGAGTGTTAACAGCAGTCTGTGTTAGCCCTGTGCCCTGACCATCTTTTAACACCACGCTACAATACTTCCTCCTTTACGTGTACGGCCACTAGAGTTCGCTTGTCAGGAAAACTTCAACAGGAGCGTTTTTATTTCATCTGATGTTTGATGCGGCTGTTTTTCTGTCGCAGACATTTTTGAACAAAAAAGTTTTATTGCCAGTTTTAGGTCTCGTGAACTTTGCAAAATCTTGTCATGTGTTTTCTTGGTGCACTGTTAGACTGTCTGAGCTATTTGAAACGTAGGTTTCACTGACACTGTGTGTTTAGGTGGATTTACAGGAGACTGTGAGCTCCTCTGGTCCAGTTCCTATTGGTGCACCGAGCCTTTGAGTTAACAGTACATTAATTACAAGCTGTAATGATAGCTGGTATATGTTCACCCAGAATCAGAGGTGTCTTCATTTGTTATTGTTCATACAACTATTTAGGGCTGGATATCGAACAAAAAATAGTGATAACATAACAAGATAATGAAACATAAGATAACGAAACAAGATATAACCTAAGATAACATAAAATAACAACATAACATGATGGCATACACTACCTCAGAGAACAACTGACAGCTTTTTGTTATTGCTATTATTATTAATTTAGATATATGACATATATGTTTAGATTTATTGAGAAGGAGAGAGAAATGGAGCGTGAAAAAGAAAAAAATGATAGAAAATAAACAGATGAATAAGGAATTGGGACCAGTATTAGGGAGGCCCAGTCCACTTCGACTGATGTTTCCCTGTTTCAATCCTAATCAATACTATACAATAATGTACAGTACGTCAGGGGTCTCCAACCTCTTTTCCTCTGAGAGCTCCTCATGTCTTATTTTACTGGACACATTTATTCACATATCGTGTCAAAACACTCAAACTGATCCCCAAACCAAATCAGATCAATAAGGTCATTTGACAAGTCATCAAATATCAACATCCAAAAACATGTGAAACTCACATCAGACAAAAGCCTGAGTCATGATTCAGTCAGAGCTGATATAGAAACCTCCATAAATTGAACTTAGTAGAATAGTAGAAAGCAGATCATTCAGTTCACTTCATTTTCCGAGATGTAAACAAACATGTTCTAAAATAAAGGCTCAAGTTGCGCAACTCACTGTATCCATGGCAACATATTTCCTGTTTATTGGAAAAGTTTAGTTTCTATCTGTTCAGAAGAGTTGCTATCACTGCACGAATAATGATTAGGTGTTTGGTGTTGGGGGGTATTTGATTTAGTTGTGTTTGGATTAGATTTACATGGTCTGTGGTTCGTACATTGTACATTCTCTGAACCTTTGGGAGAGCTACTCGGGAAATGGGGGTGAGCCACGTGTTGGACACCCCTGCAGTACAGAGTATACAGTGTATCAGGATATGAAGTTGATGAATCATCTGTCGTCCTGCAGATGAAGACCGTCTGACCAGGAGGAAGAGCTTCGTGGACACAGTCTCCATCGGGATGGATATCGTGTCCAACAGCCTTCCAGACAAGGTGGGTCTAATGTCTGTGACCTGCACTCAAGGCTTTAAAAGGCCAATATAGAAATATAAGATACATTATACAGTATATACAGCTATGTTATCCTCTCATCTGTTGACAGCTCAGCCTTTCTCCTCAGTTGCACTTGATCAGCTACCGTGGTGTTTTCAGGATGGTCTCTGTTTGATCCCTGTGTGTTTTTATCTTCCTGCAGTCTCAGCTGGCTGAGGAGATCACATTCGAGACCCTGAAGAAGGCTATAGGTGAGATCAAAGAAAAGTTTCTGAGACGGCACAACTTTTATTTCAAGCCTCTGCTCGCCTTCCTGTGGACTCGTCTCCCTGAATATAAATGAATTTTGGACTACCTGACGTATAATTGACCTGTGTCTGTTTTCAGACACCACCGGTCTGGAGGAGCAGGAGCGGGAGAAGAGGCGTCAGGTGATGGAGAAGTTCCAGAAAGCTCCGTTTGAGGAGATCGCCGCTCACTGCGAGTCCAAGGTAAAAAGAAAACTCCAATTAAGTGTTAATGAGATAATTGTATAGGAATAAAACCTCAGTATGAAACATATTTTTACTTTGAATGGTGTATTTCCTCAGGCGAACATGTTGCACGACCGGCTGGCACAAATCTTCGAACTTACAATTCGGTGAGTTTGTCATCTTTCTGATAACAATTACAATTCAATTTGTTAATTTGTTAGTTTGTACATTTTCTTGTTCAGTTGAACATGGAGCTAGTCATAGACGTTCTCTTCCTGTGTCTATGATAAATACTGAAAACGTTACTCATCTTTGTCAAATGTGATTTAGAGGTAGATTTAGAGTAACTGGGTTATTTTCCTACTTCTTAAACTAATGACCAAATTCCCAGCAGCCTCAGTTATGAGATTTATGCCAACATTAAAATCTTTTCAAGATAAATATTAAAAACTTACAGTGCTAAAATGTTAGCATGAATATATTAAAGGTCCCATATCTTCCTCTTCTTCTGTGTTTTATTTGAAGTGTTGATCCATAAGAAGATATATTTGTGGTTTTAAGAACCAAAAACCATCTGAATGTAGTTTTACATCTCCTCTCTCAGGCTTCTCTCTGGAGCTCTAGTAACAACAGGTCAGTGAACCAATCAGAAGAGAGGATGCTCAGAGCCTCTCTTCTGATTGGCTGACTGTTTTCTGAGTGATCCAATAAAAATATAGCAGATTTCATGTAAACACTCAGAGATACCAAATCCTGCAAGGTTGGATGGTGGGTCCAGGTGGGCGGGGCTTGGGATATGGCTGAGAGTGGTGACTGTTTTGTTGTGACATCACAAAGTTCCAGAAGTCCTGACGGCTGGTTTTAAGGCTCAGTTTCTGAATACAGGCTGTGAGCATTTCTCTGTGGACTGAGGCTTTGATAGTTTCACAGTATTAATATAGAACCTAGACCTGATCTATAATCAAACAACACATGGACATCTAACTTTAGACTATATGGACCTTTAATATGCTGGTTGTGAGAAAGTTACACGTTAACACAATGTCTAACACTTGTTTCCATTGTTGGAAGTTTGCCAGGAACTCACAACAATACAAACCTGTGTCGTTACCATCTCTCTTTTCTAACCTGCTAAACCTGCTACATGTGAACATGCTGTGGTTGTTAAAGGCTAATTTTGCCATTATTATACCAGTGATTCCCCTGAAAACTCAACCTACAATGAATGCTCTCTACTAAGACTAAGACTTACTGAAATAACCATCATAATGGCAGGATAAACTCTTCTGACTCAGGTAACAAAGTCAACATAAACAATCCCACTAGTGGTGAGGATCTAATAGAAAAGTCTTCAACCATTAGTTTAATTTTCTGGTCTCACATTAACAGTCTCCCCCTTCTAGTTTTTCCATCTAATTGGCAATTTAGAAACTTCAACTTAACCTCTTGCCCCTCTCTCACCACTACCCACATCCCACCCATCACCCCCCTCACCAGGCCTCCACCCAGCCCGTCCGGAGTGGTTTCCATCTCAGCGGGACACACCCAGCACCAGTCGGTACCTGTCTACGAGATGAAGTTTCCAGACCTGTGTGTCTACTGAACATAAACATCGCCCACACACACACACACACACACACACACACACACACACAAGACAGCTGAAACGCAAAATGCAATTTAAAAATGCTGAAAAAGAACAAAACAATCACAATCTGTTGTCCAGGTTCCTATTCAGACCAGCACAAGAGCACAAAATGCAGAAAAACAATTTGATATCAAATCTAAACTTTCCTCCTCTTTATTAAACACTCTGATCTTTAACTGAGCTTAAAGCGGCTCTACATGAACTTTGTTTCCTGACTCACATCCCTGACGCTAAACACAACTTAACTTACAAAGTACAGGAACAGCAACAGCAAAAACAAAAACAGCTTCACCTGTGAGATTTCAGTGATTTGATGCTGATCTGATGTTGCTGATCCAGTCAGTTGTCAACACCTTGTACATACGCTCTTTAGTCTAAGATTAACCTCTTGAAGAACCAGCTAAAACCAGTTCCAGGTTTTAAATGTGAAGCTGGTTTTAGCGGCTTCTGCCTCCTAACAAGTATCTGTTCTCATGTTGATCCGTAGGCGTCAGTGTCACTAATGAGTATTAGTAATATATTAGCATCAGCTGTAAAAAAACTGAGTAACTGGTAGAAGGCAGATTAGTGTTAGGCTCACTGCTGCATGGCTGTTCCGACCTGTTCAGTCTAGTCAGTCCTCTCTCTTCAGTCTTTGCTGTTTAAAGTTGAATAAGCATCAGAAACGACTTCAGCGACCAGCTAAAGGTGTCTGTTCGGCACAGAGACTCAGTAGACGAGCCGAAGAGAGTTGCATTTCAACGCAGTTCAGTAGAAGTGGCTCATGGTTGGTGATTTCTCCTGATAACTGAAGCTCTTCAGACGCTTCAAATGTTTGAGTCTGATTTCTTCTCCCTGAAGTAGCTCATGTATAAAAACGTGTAATTGTAACTGTGACACGCGATGACCGAACAAACAGGGAAATAGTGACGTCGCTCCGGGAAACGGGCGGAGGTGTTGGCAGATCACGTTTCGAGCAGCCGCGTCGAACAAATGTCAGAAGGTCTTCCTGAAAAACTGAGCCGGGCGACAACAAACAGGCTGATAGAGATTCATATTTAAGAAACAGGAGTTCAATTACCAGCATGAATTGACCTGGTTTTGACTTTAAATAGAAAAATTTGACTGATCGTTGCTCTATTTATTTTCCATTTAGCGTCTTTAGAACAAACGTAGAGACTGAGCACAAAACCTGAACTGCAAAATACTGAAAGGTATGAAATCTTTTGGGATGTGAGCTACATTTGAGGGACAGTACAACTCTTTACACGCACATGTTACAGTCATTACCTTGGCTCAACATGTTACAGCACTTGTTTTTGACCCTGCGCTCAAGTTTCTGCGCTACTTCCCCTTTAAGAATTGTTCATTCTGTCCAGCTGCATCCATTTCATCCACACCAACTGACATTTTTCTATCATTAATGTACATGGATGTAGCTTGGTAGCTAGCTCTGTAGGAAGATGACTGATGACTTAATCCCTCTTACTAAGATCTAACTGGTTGATTAATTCTACAAATGGCAGAAATAACCAGACCTGTTTTGAACTGCTGAACAAACCTAAGAAGTAGGCGACAAGACGTTCCTCAGTTCTGGTGCGCCCCTTAGTAGACGTTCTTTTTAATCGTCCAATTACACACGAACATAGGTAGGTATGTGAGTAACGCTGCTGCACCGCCGCCACAATCGTCAGTGTATCTGTGGTAAAAATCTAGTGAATAAGTTCTCTTAGTTTGTCAGACATGAAGCTGATTTCTACCTGTGATATAGATTTCGTCCAACACAATGACCTCACTGTGAACGTCTTGGACTCGACCAGCGGCTCGAACTTCTCCCTGCTCTGTTCGCAGCTTCCTAAAAAACCAAAACATGTCCCGTTGCCAAAGATTCAAAGACTCAAAATGTCTCAATCGAAGTGTTTTTCTGAGCCAGTGTCTGTGAGGAGCCATATGGAAAGTTTCATTCAGCAGCTGACACCTCATCATAGTTAACCTCCCCAGTGAATGTGTTGATATTAATCGAGCTGTTGATTATTAATTCATGTCTGATACAAATCAGTGACATTTTTCTTTTGGAGGATTTCATCAAAAGTTACCACAAGGCCACGGTTTGTTTCCTGAAGTACAGGAGGCGTTTTCTGGAATGAGATCCTTCGTATGAGGCGAAGCTGCAGCTGCGATCAGTAATGACAGATGGTTATCAGCATTTTCTCTGATCTGAGCTCAGCGCAGGAAGAGAAATCCCTCCAGCTGGAGGCGGATACCTGCTGCCTTCATTTGGTCTGAGCAGCTGTTTAGAGCACATCTCAACCTTCGCTTTTCCGAGGTTTAAGGTCGGTCATCAAACTCAAATCAGATGACACGTTTGTGGCTTGTTTGGATCCAGATCTGTTCCTGTTGCACCTTTTTCTCTGCTGAGAGTTGAACAGAATGAGGTGGCGAAAGATGGAGAAATAAGATGGAGAAGTGAATGAAGGAGAGGAGGAAGGAATGGTTGAGGATGTTTTCTACGTGGTCGTGTACGTTTCGGATGGTTTTGTATGTTTAACGTCGTTGAGTGCAGATTGTGTTCCTGGACAAAAAGAGGTCGACTAAAAGAACTTTGTGCAAAATCACCAACATGAGCCTGAGAACTCAGAACAATCGTCCGCTCAGTTTTGACTCTGTGTCTGTCTCTCTTCAGGATCAGTAAAAATGGAGGTCATCTGGCTCACTCTGTAGTGTGGGTGACTCTCAAAGGACTGAACCAACATGCAAGCCAGAGGTCATGTGATCAGTGGTGGGGGGGGGGGCAGTGCTACCATTGGTGCTACCATTGGTGCTAGCAAGCGTCTTCACTGTATCTGATTACCTCCATAAGTACAGAGAGCGACAGAGCTGATTGAGTTCAGCTTCCAGATGCATATTTCCCCCTTTTTAAAAGTTGAGTTTCTCGACCTTGGAAACAGCAGTCGGTCCATTTAAAGACGAATTTGTCTGTCGTACATGTTGGTAGCCGTCCTTTGAGAGCATCCCACATAACCTCCTTCGACTTCAGATGCTTCATAGGAAGCTCGGCCCTACTTACCTTTGCATATTGAGACCCAATGACATCCAATGTTGTCACACAGATAACAGATCCTGATACACTGCAGGTTAATACGAGGTGCAAATGGAGTCTTTGTGTTCTTCTGGTCTAAATGTGATTTTCTAGTCTGCGAGTGGCTGGTGATGCCTGTAATAAACCAGCCAATGTGAGCGTTAGCTACAGAGTTAGCTGGCTTGTAGAGTCTCTGCTACAAAGGATTTGACAATGAAAGGAAAACTCATGAAGCCTGAGTGAAAGAAAATGTATAGAAATATCATCCACTGATGCATTATCCTCTGCATATCTGCGCTGCGTAACGTCTTAGCTTTAAATGCAAGCTCTTATGATTTGAAATCATAGTATCATAGCTGTACTGTAACTGCATGATATCTTAATATCAATAACTTGCCGATGGGGGCTGCTGGGAGTTTATCTTGAAACAAGAAAAAAAAAAAAAAAAATCCATCTAAACAAGTTGTTTCATCGACTGGATCCTAAAGTCTGGTTTCCCTTCAGACGGGTTTTTAACGTGTTTGGAGGAAAATGAGATTTCACAGGTGAACGGTGGATGAACTGTTTGTTTAGATGTGGCTGGAAAACGTGATCACTTCCTCTTCTGAATGTGTCATTATAACAGTATATCATATATATTTTTGTACGTTGTATGCATCACGTTTGGTCAAATCGTTGCCTGGTAGAGATTTAGAGACTGGGAGATTTATTCTTGTCGATCACGTTTATCAAAATGAAAACAGATGCTGATTCCTTTAATAATTCCGTTTTTTGTTGTTTACCATGAAGATGACGGTTCAGGGTTTCAATGGGATTGTGCAGTGGGAGAAATCTCATTTATCATACTACTACTTGAGTTTTTATTTTTATTGTAGAATGAATTATATCATTTAAAATATGATGAAACAGTAATGAATATTATATCTAGAGTCTGATGATGTCAGTTATTTTTACATAATACAGAGTAAATCAGTGCAATCTGCTAATTTTAGCATCTAGATTTTTATTTTTATTTTTCAAAGAAGTTGCAGCTTTGGTTCAGACTCGAGAGTTTTAGATATGAAATGAGACTGTGACGGGAACAAATTAAAGGATCGCAGCACGAACAGCCACTTCACCAGCATTAATACAAGTGCAAACTGCTTCCACCTTTAATTTAGATTCAGCAGCAGCAGCAGCAGCGTTCAAACGCCCTTTAAATCCATTTATAATGACTGTGTTCTGTAATGTGAAGCCTGAGGCCATTTACAGCCGTTAGCGCCCGATTGCAGCAGTTTGCATCACACATCATTCTCATATCCTCTGAGTCATGAGTCAAATCTGAACACACACACACGCACACACGCGTGATACGACTCAGTGTGATTACACTGTGTGAGAAGATGATTATCTCTGATCTCCAACGCAAGAAAACATTCAAAAATCTGCCTGGAAATCATAGAAAAAAGAGCCTCCTTATAACTGCAGAACTTGCCTGAGAAACATCGTGTTTTTAAGTTTCTTCAGTATCACAGTAAACCAGTGACAGCTGTCAGTACATCCGTGGATACACTGCAGAAAGAAACAGATAAGAGCTAATTCGGCTACTTTTTAATGGTGCCAATTTTTTGCCAAAGCTTCAGGTTGTAGCTCACAGCTAACATGCTGAATCCATGGCAACACTTCCTGTGCTGTAGTTTTGAAGCTCCAAAACTGTAACTTTGAGCATGATTATACCCCAAGTAGAAGTACGGCAAAGAATAATAATAGTGACAGTGTAATGATAATGTTTTTCATGCTACAATCTAATAACATCAATAGTTTTTAAGCTGCAGGACAGTGAAACGTTTATCAGTGCTGAAGCTGACGTTTTGCTCTTTTAATTTTAAATTACAGAAACAACAATTTCCATATCTGTTGCGTAAACACGTCCATGAGATCCACAATCGGAATTTTCACAATT